ACTTGAGGTCCTGATTACGAATCCGACATTCATTTTTGGCGTTGGCGCCATATGGCGCCAATACGCGCCAATTTGGCGCCATAGTGGCGCATAATGGCGTCAAGTGGCGCCAGCGTTTGAAACCAGTGTGATATTCGTGATCAGCGCATCGAATTACATCTATAGGCAACGTTTCAGCGAAAAATTTTTGTCTGGGTTTTTGGGGTAGGAATAGTTCAATAGTGCCGAGCAACCTATTCTAGTACTACCTTGTAAGTTATCTCACTGACCATGAGCTCATCGTCTAGAAAAAACTCAACCCGAATCACAGAGAGGGATTGTTTCAAAGGGCGAGGGGGAGGGGGTGCGAGGAAACACAAGAAGTAGAGACAACAAAGTGATTTTGAGGCAATACCAGGGTATCTAACAACCCGGAGAATTCCATTGTCCTTCATTTTTTTCCTCTATTCTGCTCCTTCAAAAGTACAGCCAAACGACGCATACATCATGATTCTGTACCTACCTCCACTGCATCCTGCAGGACCCTATACTGAAACAGGGAACCTAGTGGAGTTGATTTGTTGTGGGGGAGGGGGTGGGCGGCACAAAGCGCAGGATGCAGCGCAGGCAGTCCACTGCGGTCACAGACTGAGCTATCACGTATTCGCACGCTCTGCAAGGCGTAGCGTTGAATCAACGATCTTTCACTACATTTGGTTGCTGTGAATATCAGACTCGGCGCTAGAAAAGCGGGACGCAGGAATACAAGACGTGAGGACGCTGATTCGGGGCCCGATTCTGCTTGACGATAATCCCAACAAATTCATCACTCGGGAGCAAACAATAAATGTACTGTTTTCCACTACTAATTAGCGCTGCTTATCTTCCCAGAGCATGAAATCTAATGTCTTGTTCGCTGCGGATTTTGTCCGGCTGCATGTGGGACGGCGCCAAATCCGTTTTCCACCAGTTGTTGAAGCAGGTAAACGAAAACAATTGGTGGAAAACGACTGATACGAACAATATGATACAGTCTTGCCGCTTGCTCGCTTCAACAGCTGGTGGAAAACGGGTTCGGCGTCGCGTCCAACGTAGCCGCACTGACACGCCCCATCATCCCACGCGAACCAGACTATGTTTTTATGGATCAAAAATCAGCACAGCAACTCAAAATATTCTTGGAAACATACACCACAAGCACGGTAGAGAACGATCATTATACGAGATATTCATTGCGCACTGAACTCCACAAGTGCATGTCAAAGTCAATTCAAGTTCATGTCAATTCGTACTGGAATTACATAATACAAATTGAAAAATTTAAAAAGTGTAGAACAATTTTCCTAGTGCTCATCCATCAAGTACGGTACTTGGAAATGTCTTGCATCACCTTATCTTCCAATATAGAAGAGATCTACTAAAATCGTCAGATGCTCTCGAAAATCTCTCAAGTAGTTGAAGTCTTTAATTTACCCACATAAATTTCAGTTTCGGGAGAAAAAACAATATGGCGAGCTTAAACGGGAGCAAAGGCCGCTATATATGATACATGAAGGAAATTTCGATAATCGTAGAAATGGTTGTATTAAAACATCACTGCTCTTCGAGTTTTCGCTTCTTTGATCGCCTCATCTCACGAGACTGAAATTCGGATCATTTAACTACGTGAAAGCGAATAATGAATCATGAGAAGGGAAGAAAGGTATGAGAGCAACCCACCGCCTCATCTTCGATCACATCGTTCCTCATCATCGTAGGAGTCAATGGAGCTCCAGATGACGTTATACTTGGAGGTGGAGGTTGCTGTGCATGTTTCAATGCTGCTGGAGACGTTACCGACGAGTACGAAAATAATCGATCTGCTTCTCTATCTGTTTTCCGGGACATGGTCTTTTTATCCAGTTTCACGCCTGATTTGGAAGGTGGCATAGCTAACGCATAGCGATCCCATCCTGTAAAACGGCTGGTGAGAGCGAAATAATGTGAAGGTGTAAGATAAATAGGCCGTACAAGCTTGACGTATGGCTCTAGCCCATTTGTGAAAAATCTCTCCTGCTATTCCACCAACTAAGGAGAATTTGAGGATTTCCATGAGATAGTCTTGAAGAAAGTGGACTTTTAGAGCCACCCAATTTTTTTCAAAAAAAGTTCCATAAGCCGGAATAAATAACGTTTCTGCTAATGAACAATCCTTTTCTAGATGCGCCACCACGAACTCTATGCCCTACTGAAATCACACTGGTTATCTGAATATGACGTGGTTCAAAGCTCCGCAAGCTGGATGTAGTTCTTGTCCTAACTGTTCGTGCTTAAGAGGGTAGTGCAAGGCTGGTTGAGTCGCGGACCGGACGAGGTTGACCCGGCTGGCCCAATGGTAAACGGCTACTACTTGCTTGCAACTTTAGGCTGGTTCACACTTTCCGTCGGTGTTTTGAAGAAAAGAGGCAGCGTCTGAGCGTTTTCGAGCGTATGTCCACGCTATATGAGCGCGATCTAGGAAAGCATAAGTATATCGAGACCAGCGTTTGAAAGCAAAGCCAGAGTTTCCAGTAACCGCCCGCTCCGCGCAATCAAAACCTGCCTCGCGAAACGCCGAAGAGCGTTAGATCTACATTCTGAATGATTTTTAGTCGCTCAAACGTCGCATATGCTAGATTGATACCTATAACTTTTTTAATCGCTGCAGAAAGCTATCTGCTCGAAATGCTCAAAGCTCTGCCCACAAGTATAAACTCCAGTTCTTGGCTTACGCCTATCGTCAATTTAAATAAGATTAGCAAACCCTCCTTTCTGGAATATGAGGAATAACTACAGCCCCAGCTTGAAGACGTGGACGTGTCCGAAACATCTGGCAGATTTCAGTGGTAGATTTTCGTCTTTTTTGCATGATCTACCCTCCTGAGTGATTTTAAAACATTTTCTATCCAATATGTAGTGATGAAACTATCGAGAACCTATAGGCATGAAACTACTGATAAAATTAACGATAATTAAACGACAAAAACAAATCAGTCATTGATAAAACATCAAAGACATGAAGCTAACACTGCCCTCTCTTAATTTTTTTTCACGCCAACTGTTGGCGCTGTTTTGGGCGAAGCTGAGATTCGTACAGTTCACCAGATACCACGAACGCAAGATGACTACCTTTTATGACATTTCCATATTCAGCCGTCTCTTCAAGGTACGATCCTTCAAAATTGTAAATCTGATTCTCTAACGCCTCTAATGTTTCCTAAATGATTATCTTTGAGCAGGAATTTTCAACAAATACATTAAAAATAGGAAAGAATAAACGAATGAAACAAATCACAGCAATTTCAGCACGCTTCTTGATCAGCTCGTTCAACTCCCTCTTCAAATCATGCTGATCTTTCGACATCTGAATTATATAGGAAATCATTCATATCGAAAGAAAGCGTTATTTGCCGAGGTTAGCACGTAACTTTAAAAATGAAAGAACAGTGCAGGATAACTTCCTATTACAACCATCCATTAGGTTACGAAAAAAAATTTATCGCACAATGAACACGTAGAGGCAACACTTGCACGCACGTGTATACTCGTATAAGGAAAAGAAACCGAGCTAAGAAAACACAATTCTCAACGGACCATCAAGATTGAGAGCGCAAAAAATAGTCTTCTAAAGAGCTAACCGACCATAAGAGAATAACAGAAACATATATCCTACGGCCGTAACGCCGAGCCGAAAGGAGAACCATCACGGAAGATTGCTGACAGTGCTATTATTCCACATAGGAACCCTAACGATCTAATTCTGACTTCGATCATTAAGCGGGTTGTAAAAAAATTGGAAACAGCCTAGAAACTCTGTAAACCGTTCACAGATTAGCCATCACATACACCTATTCGCATGCTACACAAACAAGGGCAGACAAGAAATTGTGTCAGTACCGGCTCGAAATTGAGAGACATTAAAGCATCCCCTATTCCTATTCTTTGTTACGTGTTGTGATCGCTACAAGCACTTTGTCGATCTGATCAATCCAACCGTTCATAGCAGAAATTGACAACGATGAATCCAATCGCTGTTCTCCACACGGCTTCACATACAGTATGTTGTCGATCTCGTCTATACGCGCAGGAAGGTCTGAAATAATTCTTCGTCAGTATGCTACTGCCCAAGAAAATGTAAACGCGAAATAGTACATATTGTCATTGTTAAAAGGGCAACAATGAAAGATTACTGAATGTAGTATGAAGGTAAGCGAGGCGACAGGAAAAGGGGCCATTCAAAGTTAGAGCGATGGCAGCCGTACTACATTTACCAGCTTTCCGCATCGTATGAAAAATCGGCGCACTTCGGTGACGAGGAGAGTGCATTTGGCACTCTCGCTGGTTCTTAAGCAATAAGCCGAACAATCAAGAAAAACAAGAAAGCTAACTAAATAATCAAAGAAATGGGTAAGGAAATATTTGGCAAGGTAACTATAGAACTTTGTTGCATGAAAAACGATAAAACAAGCCCTGATGGAGGGAGGGAGACAAATGAGGCAGGCTCATTCTGCCTTTTTTATTTTTATCTAATAATCTCCATGAGTGTACGCCAGCGTCGGAAACTCTAAGATCTAAGCAAGTATACCGCAAACTACGACGTAATGCAACAAATAAACCAATATTTAAAAAAAGACTTTTAAGAAAAAAAAGATGCGTCATTCAACAAGAATATCTTCCCTATGGTCTGACTCAATTGTTTTCCGGGGTACGAGCAGTACCAGATCGAGAGATGAAAAGCAGAAATGCATAGAGATGAGATGAAAATTCTTGAATGGATGATCTTTCAAGCCTAGATTGAAGAGGCGCAGTTCAGCGACAGGGGAGGGGAGGAAGGAGGGGCATTTTTGACTTTCGTTGCTCCACTGGTTCCGGTTTGCGTATCTGACACTGGTGAAACCTCCTGCAAAACTAGAGCAAGCTCATCGAGCCACCATGGTGAAAAGTGTCAACTCACGGAAAGGCTCTCTAGATAGGTCGACACGTCGGAAAATTCCCCCCCCCCCTCGTCGCCAATGCCCTTGAAGATCTTCGATAGACTACCAGGAACTCCAAGAAAGGTATATTCCGCCAGTACAGGACCGCGTCAATTCAATTTTTTTCTCACACGAAACAATACAACGGAAAAGGGATGTAAACACTATAAGAAAAAACTCAGTTATGAGAAACAGCACTATTTCAAACGAAAGTACTCACTTTCGTCAAGTATTGTATCCACCAGCAACCGTTTTACTTCAGCAACAGAAACACGCAGTTGTTGCGAGAGGTACTGGAGCCTTACTCTTGTATACGGTTTGATCAACCGCAGTAACACCTGCAATACTTTCTGAAGTAATCCACAAATGGCTCTTCTTTTAAGTACAGGAATCCCGAGAATCGCACTCACTTTGGTAAGCTTAAGCAACACGGATACCAAAAATTTCAAGACTGAATCCGAAAAAAGAATTCCAAAAAAATATGACGGTGAAATATGGTTCAGCACCAGCCAGATTGCAGTTATATATGATAGAAACTAACCTGAGTGCGAATATTGGTCAGAAGCTCTTCTATGTGTTCACGTATGAAGGGATCCTGCATGATACTTTCACGATTGTCTTCCAGTATTCGTTGAAATTCGTCGATGTCATTTTCTTGGTATGCGGACACCATCGCTGTCATGGCGACGATTTCTTGCTCATTCTTCAATAGAATATATTCGAAATAGAGAAGAATCCTTATAATAATGGTCTTTTTGAAATTGTTGCCTATGCGTTTTCGGGTCGGAAACGCAATTCGCAAAAAGCTATGAAATCGCACCTTGAAAGGCTTGGCCTCCTGGCTGTCGAACGGATTTATGTCGGACTTTATGAGCATGTTCGCTAACACAAGATATTTCAAACAGGTGATTCGTCGCGGTGATCCACTTTCGTCGTAGTTTTTGAACGCTTCAAAGAAATCCGTGTGGGCACGATCAAACTGACCCTCTCTAAGATGCATCTTGCCACCGCACTCTAAAAAGTGTGGATGTAATTCAACGGAATGGCAACGGTGGTCAATGATGTTATAGAAAAGTTGAAAATAAACGCCGAAAATCTGAAATGCGAACAGGACGAGAAAAAATCTCTCATATGTTCGATTCCCAACACAGACGTAAGTGAAGTTGCGTTCATACTTTCAAAACGCTAAATTGATATCTATGCATCACTTTTCGCTCAAAACGCTGGCATATCTCCCGATGCGCTTGAAAGACTCGAACTCTAATCAGTGCTTATATTCCCCTTTTCGCTCAAAACGCGAGGAACACTGCTGTTTCGCCCAGAACACTCGAAACTCTTGAAAGGCCGTTGAAAAGAGTAAACGCCTGGCTAAACCGAATAAAATAAAACTAGGAGTAAAACATCAGCATTAGAATCAGCTTGCAAAAAGGCCACGACTGGGAAACTCACCTCGAATGACACCAAGAATTAAAGGATGAGGAATAGCGGACTTCGATTGGATAGCCTGTTGCGCTTGCTCATATAGTTTCTTCAGAGCCTAAAAAGAGACTAACATTGAAGAGAGAAGCGCGTTCTCGATTAAGACAGAAGAAGACCTGAACGTTACCTTGTTATTCTTCTGTTCAGTATACATCTGAATTTCTAGTGCATAAATCTCCAGTAGCTGCGTTCCTTTTTTCTGGTCTTCTTCGCCCAGTTCCGTCTAAACAGAAAATATGTGGGACATATAAAATGAAAAACTGGAGGTACTGTCAAGAAGAAGGTCAACAAAATGTTTACCCTTTGTGGCGTTTACATAGCCAACCACGATTGCCTGCTACTCCATTCTCCCACCCAGGTTCTGCGGATCATCAATGCTATTTAGTAGCAACACTTAAACCAATTATTCATTTTCCTCACTCATGAGCTTCTCTTTAGCGCTATTTCCGCGCCGTCGCAGAGTCCGCTGGTTTTTTATACATAGCGAGCAATGAAATAAGCAAACGGCGGAAAACGATATTCCAGGGTTTCTCCTCCACCAAATAAATCGAGGTCACAGATAACTGTGAAGCAACAAAAAACCTTCCAAATTATTATAAAAATAGGTCTTGCCCGATGTTGAGAAAAATCGTTTGAGCATGTCAAATGTAACGACTCAATTTGCGAGTCCCTATGAATACCCGTAAGTGCAACGGGAAAAATTTTTTGCTGCCTTGTCGACACTTCTAGGAAATTCCGCCTCTCAAAGCAAGTATAGGTGATAGAGGAAAAAGGAGTACATGAGAAGAAGTTCACGAATGGCTCCTCCATCAGGGCACGCCATAGTTCGGATGATCACAACGGGGGGCTATTTGACCGCGAGGGTGGGAGGGCTGTATTTTGGTCAGAGAAAATCAGAGAAATCAATTTTCTTTTGATAGTTGATTTCTCTTGTTTCACGGACGCTATAAAAGGGGAGGGGTCGTATTTGGTCGTTGTTGGGAGAGGGACTGCCAAAGATCTATACAACTACTATTTCCGATAGTTGAAAATGATAGTTAAATCCTGACGACCTCTCCCCTCCCCTCGACGGAAAATTCTTGGCTGAAAAACTGGAAATTTTTCGGGAAAAAAGGAAAAGTGGTAGGAAGTTGGGAAAATCTAGGAAAGTGGTAGGTAGCATGGGGAGGGGGTCGTATTTGAGGATGGAATTAGGGGGGTCGTATTTTTCAGGAAATGATCACAACAAGATGGCGTGCCCTGTCTTCTACAGGTGTCAAGGGGACAGCGAATTGAAATATTTGTATGGGTATAAACCTAGAGAAAAAGGGCAGTCGGATGACAATGTTTGACCTCCTGCAGAACATTCTGAGCACCCTCAGTGTCCTGAAAGTCAGAATACGGCACGAATTTGTTCTAAGAGAGCTCAGTATTTGGAAATAAGCAGCAAGGCAAGCTAGGAGGCGGGGATACGGCTTGAAGAAACAATCATGGCTCCTGTGGTAGGTGAACCACTTCTGGCGAAACGCGAAATTTCATTTCTCCAACAAAAGAATCGGTTTCTTTACCGTGGAATTAATTGCTTTAGAGCTTCATAATTCGCGATCTGATTGCTTGGATCGCGCGATCGGATCGAGCTGTATGGACGCGCCCCTACGTCTAAACGAAAAACCTCGAACCTCGCTCGCAATCGTTTGTTGCACCTTCAGGCACTGAGTGGGGCATATTATTTATGGCGGAAAAAACCTTAGAAACGGCGTGCAAATGGGACCGGTGCCATGTCAAAGCTTCAAATGAGTTTAACAATGATGACAATTTAAGAAAGCTGTCTGTTCTCGTGACAGGAAACCATGGAATCCTGAACCTTTCACCCCATCCCATTGGGGCCTTTGGTCAAAATGCAACTTTGAAAAGAAAAAGTAGGTTCTGGTAGAAAAAGGCTACACACTAATAAAATCAACATACCTTGCAGGAACTTTTCAACTGCTTCAAAATCTTCTCAAGTTTGTTAAATTCGTGCATATCAAAGTACAACTTCCCAAGCTTGGTATTAGTTTTGAACCATAATCGCTCATTCTTTGCATCCTTAAGAGGAAAACCAATGAGAAATTCCGATGCTAGTTTACAAGACACAAAACATTGGAAGAAAATATGGTAAACACACAGAAGAAAGGGCACTATTGAACTATTCCTACCCCAAAAAACTCAAAAAAATTTTTCGCTGAAACGTTGCCTATAGATGTAATTCGATGCGCTGATCACGAATATAACATCCGTTTTGAGCGCTGGCGTCATTTGGCGCCATTAATTTGGCGCCCACCACTTTTTTCACCAAAGTCGATGAAAACTTGCATATGGGGGTTAATTGAGGTCCTGATTACAAATCCAACATTTATTTTTGGCGCTGGCGCCATTTGGCGCCATTATGCGCCAATATAGCGCCGAATTGGCGCGTAATGGCGCCAGCGCCAAAAATAAATGTTGGATTCGTAATCAGGACCTCAATTAACCCCCATATGCAAGTTTTCATCGACTTTGGTGAAAAAAGTGGTGGGCGCCAAATTGGCGCATAATGGCGCCAAATGACGCCAGCGCTCGAAACGGATGTGATATTCGTGATCAGCGCATCGAATTACATCTATAGGCAACGTTTCAGCGAAAAAATTTTTTGAGTTTTTTTGGGGTAGGAATAGTTCAATAGTGCCGAAGACAGATACTACCTGAAAAAGGCAGGTGAAGGAAAAGAAGCCAACCTTCAGAGCATCTAACGTAGTTTCATAGAATTTTTGTAATAAGTCCATTCGTTTTGAAGTCGATATGTAGTCCAAAATGGCATTTATAGATTTCTCGGAATAATTCTTCGTCACAGCTGTTTTGATGTATTTCAGCAGTTTTTGATAGTATTCCAACATCGCTTCGAACTGATTCTGAACATTAAATTAAATAGTTAATCAAAAACCAGAGAAACTGCAGAAATATTTAACGTACGGTGTTGAAAGTAATTTTAACCATCTGTTTCAAAGCTTTGAATCCCCATTCGCCCATTTCTTGCTCTAGGTTGAGAACCTGAATTGTAGTACAACATAATTTTCGCCATAATGGCTCCCATGACGAGCTGACCTTCTCAAAATTTGCTATGGCTTCATTGATCTTTCCTTCGCTTTTCAACCCTTTTGCAGTATAGTACTGGTTTTCAAGATCAACATCAGGTTCGCTTCCACTGTCATCCTCGTATTCCTGAAAGAAAAGAGGGATAGGTTTTGAAATTCGGCGCTTTTCATTCTTTACGATCTGCTTTGCTTTTGTCGGAATCTCCCACCGAGGACAGAGATGGCTGGGATTGTCGTGATGATTCACTACTACCATTTCCGCCTGGCGCTACAGATACTTCTGCCAGAACCTTCCGCGTCAAACCAATACTAAAAAGTAGAGCTGCCCAAAAAGCCCTTCAAAATATTTCAAATGTTTCCCCGCAATATTCCGGTGAGTGCACATTCTTCAAGCCTATATTACACACCATTGACGTGGTTAGTTCAATACACTGCACATTACATTAATTCACTACATTACATTAATAAAACGTATTTCGTGCCTGAGGAAGGCGCTAAACCGAAATATTGTAGGGAACTATTTCAAAGATTTTTTTGGATCTTTCGCCCATTTTTCTGGTGTACCCTAGCTGTCTTTATCCTTGGAAGTATCTACTCCAGAAGATAACTGGAGATTATCTTCTGCAAAAGATACTTTAAAGGCGTAATACACGTTTCCAGGTGAACATGAGGCTTCGCTACAGTAGCACACTAGGAAAAGTATAAAATGGAAGAATTCAAGCATCGAATACTCACAAAACCATAATCCTCGTCATCGTCCATA